TTATTTACTCAATGTGGTAACTTCCCCAACAGATGCTTGAAATGCTGTGTGTTTTTGTAGATTTAAGTGTAAGAGAATTTATAATTATTTACTCAATGTGATAACTCCCCCCAACAGATGCTTGAAATGCTGTACTATAGTATTTGTTATGATGAAAAATGATTCAAAAATCATACAACTCATACAGCAATCGCTATCACTTGACTTAAAATATTTTTGCCCGTCCTTGCCTTTAAAGGAGTACCCTTTGCCGTGCTGATGTTGCTACATGCCTTAATTCTTGCCTATCTCACACTGAGAATTTTTTCTAAGCTCTATACTAAACATTAAATCTGTTACAAAAAAGAACTAAACAAAATGAACACAAAACAATCAGCTTTAAAAAAGGACTCGTAACTGGAAAAACTGAATGAAAAAAGAAAGTTAACAACAAATACTTTTTCATACCCAACCCAGTTCTGCAGAATCAGAATCAACGTTGAGTTTAAGCAAGTGAACGAGCCAATTGGAGTAAAGTGCCATGCAGATTTAAATTTTTCCTACTTGTGATGAATGCAGCTATCGATTTTTTTGCATGCTAGCATGCTAGTTAACATTCATGTCAGTCAGCTGTTAGCTCTCATGCTGGCCAATAGAATCTTCCTGCCTATTTGTGGCAGCCAGCTATAGGCTCTCACTCTGGCCAGTACAAAATGGCCACAAACTACATGAAAAAATTGATTATTTCCACTATCGATGGGAGTTGGGAAATGCAAGGTTGGTCTTGGCCTTTCCACTAACTTGGAGCATGTGCATGTAAATTTTGGTGCAAATCTGCCGAAAATTGCGGCCGTGCATTCGTTACACACACACACACACATCCTGCCTTTTATAGATAGAGATTCAAGTCAACTTCTTAAATAGCATTATCAAATTGAGATTTTCATATGAATGTCATGAATGGTACCAAACTACAGCCCATCTAAAGTTATTATGTGAATCATTTAAACATCAACAATACAAAAAGTCGAAAACCAATATTTATTATATTTAAACTCATCCATTTCCACACTTGATAAAATCTAAAACTAAATTGTTAACCACATATAATGGTTATATTTTGAGATAATTGGAATTTAGGAAAATGGACTGACCAAAGTTATGATATAGATTAAACTGATATTAGTTTAAGGTCTCTTAAATCTAATAAAATCTGTTCATAATATAAAAACTTTCCATAATATATTTTGAAACATCAGTAATGGGAAGGATCTAACAAATACTGAAAAACAGAAAATAACAAAGTTATCATGTGAGGGAATGTCCACATTGGAGACATATCAAAGGAACTTCACAGAGATCATCAAATGATAAAGAGGGCTGTTGAAAATATAAAAAAAGTTGAGAACTAGAATCAAAGGAAAAAAATTTGTCTCCTAAATGTAAACTAAAATGAAACTACCACTACTGACCCATACTCAGATCTTTGAACAGGCTGGAATTGAGGGAGTCAAGGGGAATAAAAGGTGTAGAATACTTCACAAATTAGGATCTATCAAGGAATTTCCTAGGGAAACTCCTCTCAACAAAGCAAATATTTTAAAGCATCAAAATTGGGATAAACAATACTGACTTTTCTAAAGAAATTTATATGGATGAATCTCAGGTAACAGTTAAGGGACCTGATGGATGGGCTAAAGGATGGATTTTATCTGATTCAGATGTGCCTGTGGCTAAAAAAGGCAGCAAGGAGGTGGCAGTGTGATGATATGGCCTGGAATTGTTGGCCAAACCATAAATGAAGCACTGAAATTGAACAGTGTGAACTAGTGATTTCATGGACAAGACTTTCTTTGAATGGTACAAATCCCAGCTTCACAGGTTCAAATTGTTGTATGTATTTATGCAAGAAAATGCTCCTTTTTTATGTATCTAAGGTTGCCTGTTAATTTTTTGAGCATAAAAGGTTTACAGGATTTAAGATAAAGAAATGGTCACCACAAAGTCTTGATCTAAATCAATTGTGGTCAATTGTGAAGATAAAATTACTTAAAGGTGACAAATAATATGACAGCAAAGTAGACCTATGGGAAGCAATTACAACTACCATGTTGAAAAATGAACCTGCTGGTGTAAAAAAAAATCATTGAATAATAAATTTATGATACTTATTGGGAAGAAGGGTCATTATATTAAGATGTAAATACAGACAGACCTTCCATCAACGGACTTTGGATGCAACAAACAAAATTTGCAGGAAAAATAAAAAATGTTATGCAGGAAAAAAATTTCCAGATCATCAGTGATGTATTTCAAAATTTTCGGGCTTAGTGAAACAAGTTGTATTAGTTCTCAAAGTGAACACTTGGTGGCAGTGGCTGGCCTTTCAATTGTAAACAAAGACAGGTGTACAGTATATAAAGTACGATACATTAGTGTGTGTGTGAGAAAACAGCTGTGAGAAATCTATTATTTTTGTTATTTTCATTAATATATCTATATTAAGCATATATTTATTTATGCCATATATACATATTTATAGTATTTACATTATGATCATAACAAATGGCAGTTATTATAGTGGTTTTATAACACAAAAATAATCCCTTCCCATCTACAGACAATTGGCTTGAACAGACCACACATCCCCGGCTATTAGTGTGTTGATAAGAGGTTTGTCTGTATTTCAAAAACTTATATATGTTTGTTATTTATTCTATTATAGGTGTTTATCAATTGTGGAGGATTTTATTACCATGTTATTGAATTAAAAAGTGATTTTCTGTTTTTGCATAACTTCAGTTTTTATAATAAATCCAATAACTTTAATACAATTTGTTGAAACTGCCTAAAAATTAAACTCAAGCCTTGTTTTGATGCCTAATTGTTTAAAATTTGACAAACGTTTTTCAAAACAAATTAAAGTTACTGAGGTTTTGCATAAAAACTTCAGGCAGACTGTAGTTCCAAAATATGAAAACTGTCAGCTGTCTACAACCGCATTCTCATTTCAATGGCTAAAAATAGCTTTGCGCAAATGAAGCCTGCATGTCTTTGCAAGGACAATTCATCTATAAATCTTTTGGATTTATGCTACATAATCACAAACAAAAAACTGCACCAAATAACCAAAACCACATCACTTGACGATTTTCAACAGCAACAGCAACTAAAATAGATATCACATGTAACCTGAAGAGAAAATAATGACATAATCGAAATGTTGATGTTCCACACTAATTCAAACAAAAGGTTGGGATAGAAAATTCTTAATTAATATTGTAAAGAGAGATAACAGTGGACCTGAAAAACATATTTTCCTGAAAAAATTCTTTTAATAGAAAGATTTTATAAATTTAAACTGAAAGTAGCATTGGCTTCTCAGTCAATGAATGCTGATGAGAACAGATACTACACTTTGATTCTAACCTGATGGCCAGGGAAAGAAGAAAGATGTAACTTGAGTTGCACTGGCTGCTGTGCCAATGAATGCAGAATGTTTCCTTACAAGGAAATGGTTAATATTACCATTAGTAATAGAGATGTGAAGAACAGATACTACACATTGATCCCATCCCAATGGCTAATGAGTGAAAAAATACATTTGTCAAATCGAGACTTTCATATGTATATCATGCATAGCACTAAACTCATTGGGAAATATCTAAACTGTCATCTGTATATGACTGCTTTCATATGATCAATGGTTAAAAGTGGTTTTGTGCGAGTGAAGCCTGCATGTCTTTGCAAAAGGCCATCCTTCTTTGAACTTTGTGGACTATTGTTAGAATTTCACAAAGAACTGTACGAAATATCAAAAATCCATATCACTTAACAGCAGCAACAATTGAAAAGGGGTATCACATGTAACTTGAAGAAAAAATAATGACATAATCAAGATGTTGATGTCCCACACTATCTCAAAAAAAATTGGTTGGGAAGGAAAATTTCCAATTAATATTGTAAAGAGCGATGACAGTGGATTTGAAAGCCCATTTTCCTGAAAAATTGTTTTAATAGAAAGATTTTATAAATTTCAACTGAAAGTAGTGTTGCTTGCTCAGTCAATAAATGCCAAATATTTCCTTATAAGGAAATGGCTAATATTACTATTAAAAGAGAACAGATACTACAGTTTGATCCCAACCCAATGATCAGGGAATGAAGAAATGTGAAAGTTCAGTAGCATTGTTTTTTTGGTCAATGAATGTCAAATGTTTCCTTATAATGAAATGGCTTATAATACCATTAGAGATAGGGTTGAACAGATACTACACTTTGATCCCAGCCCCATGGCCAGGGAGTGAAGAAAGTGCATCTTGAGTAGCACTAGGGTTATCTTTTATTTCATTTTTGTCTATACATGCACCAACTGTTACATGTTTGGCTATGGTTTGTCTTCTGACTGATAGTGGAGTGGTTTCCTGTTGCCTTTTTCCATGGCAACTTTATTCAGATAGTGTTTGGAAAATGAAAATGGACACTTGTACTTAGATTTAGAGAGATACAGTTGAAATACCTGGGACACATAATGAGGAAAGAGAGCTTAGAGAATTTGACACTCGTGGGGCATACTGATTTTTGGTTGGTTGATTTTGTTTAGTGGTATATGAACTTGTATGAGTTATTTAAGTTATTTAACGCCGAAATCTAAATATTTTGAACACAATTTCATGGCTTCAACTAAATATATTTTAAACGCATTGTATGCCTTCAACTACAGATAAAATGTATTGTTAGTCATTTTGCTATAAAATGTATTGCTGGTCATTTTGCTTTAAGAATGTATTGTTGGGCATTTTACTATAGATGGGTATTGTTGGGAATTTTACTATAAATATGTATTTTTATACTTTCATAGTGTTTTGTTTTTGTTTGGGGATTCATTATTTACCCATAGTCGGGAACCTAACAAGTGCTACAACTCAGTTCAGGGTGAACCTGCAGCGAACAGCAATTAAGAGAGGACATACTGAAGGCAATAGAGGAGGAGGGTGTGAGTGAATAACCGACCAGTGAAAATGGAATTCAGAACAAGAAATGGTGGGGAGGGTAAGGAGACAAAGTTTTTTATTGTGTATCAGCCAAAACAAGGCTCAAGAGCCACTCAAGGTAGAAAGCTACTGAATTAAGTGAATGAAAGAGAAAAAGAAAGAACTGAATGTTATGAGGCTATAGTAGATAGGTAACAACTGACCGTAGACTTGAAGATATTAAGATTGTAGTGTTCTGGGAAGTATCCATGCTGGGGTCTGGTTCATAAAGTAGCAGTTCTTGGAAAGAAGATTTTGGAATGGAATGCCCTACAAAAGATAGGAAATTGTGGAGCACCATGATCGCATACATCCTGAAGGAGAACATACACAAACAACCTGCCATATAACCTTGCTAGCACCCTTATATATTTACTATATATTATTAATTTCAACATATTCTATGTTATCTATCAAATACTCTGAATTCTTGGCTGAGAAAAGGGACAGAAAGAACAAATGTTAGAATCATGTGTCACTCTTTTGATGCAGTCGCCAAAGTAAAATAATCGTGTGTATGCCTGGTTAAACTGCGTTCTATTCGGAAGACTCTCTCTCTCATCATGAGCCCCAAGGTGTCATTTATCACTTGGGCAAATTGTTACACAATGAACTTACAATATTTCATTGCCCGATTTTTCCCTTGCTCAAAAGGGTGAGGAAGAGGCAGGGTCTCCAGGTCAATATAAATGAACACAGTGAGTTCCTAATAACACACCAGGGAGTAAGCTGGGCTCCCACCATCACCCCCCTCCCCTTAGACACAATGTAGGATCTTCAAACTTATCCATAACTCTGGCATCTGTTAATCATCAGGTTAATAGTAGAGGCCTAATGTCTGGGGTTTTTAACTGTACATACGTCATTCTTGTTACATACCTAGCATTTACTCTTGTTTTTAAAACATTTAAATTTTTTATTTTTATCTGTTCACACTCAGTCTCTTTATCTTGACAATTTTGTCTTTTCATGGAGTATAAAGCGGGCAAGAGATATATGGAAAGGCAGTGGAACCACCTATCTGACAAACTTGTGTGAATAGAGGATGGAACAGTGGGGGTGATGGTATGCTTGGCAAATAGTGAAATACTAGGGGCCACAAATGATAAGAAGTTGTGTAGAACCATGACTGGCCATCCCCTGAAGGGATATGGCACACAGAAAAAGAACACAGAAAGAGACAGCTGAAATTACATAGACACATTATGATGAAAGAGGGCTTGGAGAATTTAACACTTACAGGACATATCAAAGGCAAAACAGACAGACGAAGGCAGTAGGTCAGCTACCTGACAAGCTTGTATGAATGAATGGTGGAATAGAGGATGGGAGAGATATCAAAAAGAAAAACATTACAAAGAGCAACAAGGGATAAAAAGTTGTGTAGGGCCAAGATCAAGCATGCCCTGAACGGACATGACACATAGAAGAAAATTTCTATCAGCTGTTTTCTTTCTCTTCATTACAGTTAGAATTTCTTTCTTTGACATTATTTTGTCGCTTTCTGCTTTCTTTCTAAATTCCTCCTACTCTTCTATACACTCATTTTTTCTTTCTAGATTTCTCCTACTCTTCTATCCACTCTTTTTTCTTTCTAGATTCCTCCTACTCTTCTATTCACTCTTTTTTCTTTCTAGATTTCTCCTACTCCTCTATATACTCCTTTTTTCTTTCTACAGGGTGTTCAAAAAGTAGTCTCACCCCTAAATGATATAAATTTCTATTTCAATGCTCTGTGGAAGGAGTTTCACTCAAGGAGAGAGTTTCACATAAATGATACCAGAATGCCCATCAATTGAAGGACATCATTTGGAGAGCCTTTGCAACAATCAACAAAGCACAGCTTCATAAAATATCAGACTGGACATCGTGCCATATCATTTTGCGCCATGACAAATGATTATGTTCATACAGACCTTCTCGCTGTGTGATGGCATCAATGAAAGTGAATAAACTGAATCCAGCACATGTGCTTTGTATTGCTGTATTGTTCTGTTGTTCTCATTACTTTTTGGTAAGGGGGTGACAATATTTTCGGACCAGCCTGTAGATTCCTCCTATTCCTCTATAAACTCTTTTTCTTTCTAGATTACACCAATTCCTCTACACACTCTTTTTTTTTTCTGTTCTCACTCCTGAATCACTCAGTAATCTTTTTCTTTTATTTTTAAAGCTTTCCGTTTACTCTGCTTTTCTTTCTTTCTTTATTGCTTCTTCTCTTGCCTTGAATTCTCTTATTTCCCATAAACCCTGTATAAATCGGAGTCGGGTAGCTGTTTCCCAAGATGAGACTCTGCACTTCGACATAGCTTGGTCAGGGGATCCTCTCTTCCCAGGGGCAGAGAGTTTGGCCAGAACATCTGAAGACAAAGTGACTCAAGTGAATTTCACAATGAATCTCCAACTGCAGACCAACATACAGTATTTACTACTGTATTTATGTAAATAGGGGTATACCCATTATTGTCCATAGGTATGCTACAATGATTTCCTAATATTCTGTTGGTTCTAATTGGCTAGGAAATGACTGCAAAAAATTTCCCCTTTGCCAGATTTATAGACAAACCATATAGATGCCTGCTGGTATTTCTTCCTAACTAATAAGATGGGCCACTTCTCAGTCTCATCCACCATATTCTTTTTCCTTTTTTCTTGGAATCAGAATGGTTTGGTTTGTTTTACGGCATATCAACCTCAATGGGTCATTTAATGCCGACAACTTTTTTCTTTTCCTGGTAATGTTTTTGTTTTGTAGCTGGTAATATTATTTTTTCAAAAACATAGCTGGTAATATTGTTTTTTCAAAAACGTATAGCTGATAATATTATTTTTTCAAAAACGTATAGCTGATAATATTATTTTTTCAAAAACGTATTTCTGGCAATAGTTTTTTCCAAAAAAGTATTGCTGGTAATATTTTATAATGCTTTTTGCCTCAGTTTCAGGGTTAACTATTTGCCCATAGCTGCAACCCTAACAAGTGATACCACTCTGGGTCAGGGTGGACCTGGGAAAATCAGCAATTAAGATGTGGTTCCACGCTACTCAAAATCTCCTGATCAGAGGCCTTACTGTTGGACGTAGTTTATCGTCATACACAGGACATGGATGTAGTTTATCGTCATATCCAAGATGCAGATGTAGTTTATAGTCATACCCAGGACACTGGAGTCAGAATGCTGCAATCACTTGTTGGTACTCCCCTTTTGTGTGTTAACACCATTCTTAGTTTGTGAACATTTTTGTCTCATTACTTTTGCTTTGCCTACTTTTGTCTGGCATATATCGTTTGCTTACAAACTAGCTATATTCCATCACTACCATTCAAACCACGAACTACCACCAGTCACGATGAATGGATGTCCTCTCGAAGAGGCACCATACCATGAAAGAATACTGACCTTGAATGGAACTCATGCATATAATACATCACAGAAGATGTAGGTAAAATGGTCAGTTTCCTGTACCATTCCAGTAACTATTTGACTCCTCATGATATCTGCTACCTTTACAAGCGCCAGATCAGGCTGTTGTCATATTTGGACGGGAGCTGCCTAGTCCTCACCTACCAGTCTTGATAGACTTCAAAAGCATTTCCGAGTCCTTGTGGGTGATGAATTATTTTCCACCCCCTAACCTCCCTTCTCACAGGTTGGATGTGGCAAGCCTCTCGCTGCTCTATCACTACTTCCATGGAAAGTGCTCAGATGAACTACATTCCTTGGTTCCACCAGGAATAACTTTCATGGCAAGGACCCACCATGCCACACACATTGTAGCAAACCAAACACATTCCTCCTTATGAGAAATAAGTTCCACTTGAACAGCTTCTTCTCATGAACCACTGCCCTGTGGAACTGACTCCCAAGAGGATGTTTCCCTGATGACTGCACTCTTAACCTATTCAAGTCTTGAGTTAACTATTATCTTCCCCTCCTATCCATAGAAACTACCCCTTAACACAACCGTCTAGCTCAAGTGATCTCCAGGCCTTGTACAGGAGGAGCCTTACTGTAAAAAGAAAAAAAAATTGCCCTATTTACATTATTTGGACTATTGTCTTCATCTTTGTCACCATATTTATTACAACATTTCAGCCGTTGTACACTCCGACCTTCTTCAGGTGGAATTTCACTCACTGGGCTAGACTGTTCTAGTTCCATGTGCCATGTTTAATGGATGTCAATTATCGGTTATCTCCTGTTAATTCCCCTCTCCAAGTTCTCCACTGCCTTAACTGGTTATTGAACTCGCACTCTTTGGGTCCTGTCACTGGATCTAACTAACACCTTTATCCACTGTGCCATTTGTCCTTGAGGACAGTTGTGTATGAATTTCTGGGTATTATAAACCTAATGTCTTCAGCATCATTTTTTATCAGTACTCATATTGCAAATTTTTGCTGTTATCATTGCATGTTTTTACCAGAGCTCATATTGCAATTTTTGTTGTTATTATCGCTTTTCTCTGGCACTCCTTGTTACTGGTTCCCATATTGAATTCATTTTTATGCTTGGTTGGCTCAGGAGATTTTTGTGGCCAAGCATATGTGCTGATTCCTTAAGTTTACAAATTTTCCAATGGTGTTCTTTGTCTATGTACTTTTCTTTCTTTTGTTATTGTTTATTGTAAACTTTGCCAATTCTGTTTGTTGGGTATTACTCTACAAATTGCTGGGGGTATCCATTCTCCTCTACTTGGAGACTTGGTCGAGGCAGGAAAATGGTATCAAGCATTCAAGAACAAATGCCTAAGGAAGCTTCTCTGTATCTCCTACTGGGAGCATAAAACCAATGACTATGTACAGAACAAAGTCAAAAGTCTCATGGGTCAACAGCAATCTCTCTTTGATACTATTAAGCATTAGATGTCATAGTCTGGCCACATCTCACTGCAAAACCATCATAAAAGGCACAAGCAGGGACAGCAACACAAAAGTTGGTTTGGTTTGGTTTGTTTTACGGCATATCAACCTCAATGGGTCATTTAATGCTGACAACTTTTTTTTCTCTCTCTGGTGATATTTTGTTTTGTCAAAAATCTATTTCTGTTAATATTTTTTTCTCAAAAATGTATAGCTGGTAATATGATTTTTCAAAAAAGTATAGCTGGCAACATTATTTTTTCAAAAACGTATTATCAGAGGCCTTGCTGTTGGACATAGTTTATCATCATTCCCAGGATGCTGACGTAGTTTATCGTCATATCCAGGATGCACAAACATTGGTCAGGCATCAAAGAGAGAATGGACATAAAAATACCGGAACTCCTGAGAGTGACCTCCAACAAACCATCCTGGAGGAGGTTGTCTGTTTCTTCTGCTCCTAAGTTTCCAATTAAAGCAGTCAAGGCGTTGATGATGATGGTGATGATGAAGTTCCTTACCTCCTTTGGTTGAATTAACCCCTACTAAGCTACTATACTGAAACTATTTAACTTATGAGTACATGGCATCCAAAGTTTTTGAGAGGGTTTTACCTAAAATTTAAAATCTGTCAGTTCTAAGATTACCAGCCAGCAAGGTTGATTAGTCAAAAAGAGATAAAAATTTAAGGAAACTCTTGGTTCCAATCTAGATAAGAATGTCTACAAAAACATAGTTTCCCTAAATTTACAGACAAAACATGCAGATGCATGCTTGGATTTCTTCCATGCCAATAAGACTAGCTATTTCTCAATCTCATCTGCTATAATTTTGTTATTTCTTTTCTTGAAATCAGAATGCTGCAATCACTCAACTGTATCCCTTTGTGAACTTCGTTACTGTTGCCTTACCTATTTTTGTATTGCATATATTGTTTGCTTAGTATTATTTTTATGCTGTTCTTTTCTTTCTTTTAGTTATTGTTTATTGCATATTTTGTCAAGCATGGACGGGAGCTGCCCAGTCCTCACTTACCAGTCTTGTCATGTTTGTTGAGCATTTTTACCAATTCCATGGACAATTACCCTGCAGGTTATAAGCCCAGAAATAGACTCTGTTTCAATGGTGACAAATTCAAATATGAACTATGAGACGTAAAAGTTTTAGGATATATGTGAATACAAAATTATATGAAATGATCTTGGCATCATATTATCATCGCAATGATAAAGAGTACTGAGAAAATATTGCAGACACATTTGCTGAGTTAATTCAATTTCTCAATGACTGAGTCTGTTTCTTATTATGAGAGAAGCACCTGACAATGGCAGAAAGTGCTGCAAATTTTGAGAGAATACTACTTATCAAAAGAAAAGACAAAATAATTTACTTGTTTACTGAATTAATCTCCTATGAAAAGCAAGTGCTGAAAGTATTTGGGATTATAGTATTAGAGCTGAAAATGTTGCAACTTTAGAAGTGATAAGCAATAGCTTGTTAATAGACATGATTCTAAAAGGCTTTCGATCTGAATTCAAACCATTCACAACTGTTATTACTTAGAGAGAAAAATAGTAATGACTAGTAAATTTAAAGTAACATTGCCAAGCTTCAAATAAATTGAAAATATAATTGAAGAGGGAATAACTGAAAATACTGTAATGAAAATTCCATTATGCAATAATGACTTCATTTCATTATGATTATTATTTTGAATATATGGCAGAACCATTCAGGAAGAGAATGTTTCTTTAGTCCAGTGCTTCCCAAAGTGGGCAATAGCGCCCTCTTTTGGGCTGTGTTATGTTTGAAAGGAGGCACTGCAATTTTTTTGTCGGTGAACATACTCAGGCAGCGGTGGGCATGTATCCATTTTTTTCAGATTTTGCTGAAAGTATTTGGGATTATTTTTACTCTGTTCTTTTTTTTATTGCAAATTGTCAATTCTCTTTGTTGAGCATTTCTACCAATTCCATTTAACCATTAAACGACAGGTTTCTCCTCTCATATTCCTTCTACTTTTTCTCTATTTCTCAATTTATTTTCCCTCTTTCTTTTTTGATTTCTCTCCTCCACCTACTCCCAATGTTTCTAGTTCTTACTTTCTTCCCCCCCGCCAATTTTACTTTTCTTTTGTCCTTCCTCTTAGTCATCCTTTATATTATTTTTTTTTTAATCTTTTTTCTCTTACTGTTCTTAATATTGTCAGCACCTCAACATTTAATCCTATTTCTCCTTCTTTTTCTCTACAATTCATTACGTCCTCTTTGTCCCTACTCTCTGATTTCTAAGACAGTTCCACTTAATCTATCTATCTATCTATCTACCTTTCTTTCTTTCTTTTCATTATCTGCCTCTTCCTACTTCAAAATTCTAATCTTTTTTTCTGACTCTCTTCTGTTCCCTTCTCAGGCTATTCTTTTCTTCTTTCTCTCTTTCACTATCTCTCTTTTTTTCTTTCATTACTTCTTTGTCTTTTTCTTTCTTTCCAGTTTTTTCACATTTCTTTCCACTTTTACTTTATCTCATTCTTACACTCTTTCTCCTTTCTTTCATCTCCTCTTTGTTGGTATCTCTCTCTTTAATTCATCTATTTTTTCCCTCTCTCTATTCTCCCATATTCTATCATTTTTTAATCTCTCCGTCACTCTCCTTCACACTCTCTCATTTTTCATCATCTCTGTTTTTATCTCTCTCTTTCTTTCTTTCTGTCAAACTAGCCAGATCTATCCATAAGTCTTTCTTTCTGTCAAACTAGCCAGATCTATCCATAAGTCTGTCTTTCTTTCTTTCTTTCTTTCTTTCTGTCAAACTAGCCAGATCTATCCATAAGTTTGTCTTTCTTTCTTTCTTTCTGTCAAACTAGCCAGATCTATCCATAAGTCTTTCTTTCTGTCAAACTAGCCAGATCTATCCATGTCTGTCTTTCTTTCTTTCTTTCTTTCTTTCTGTCAAACTAGCCAGATCTATCCATAAGTTTGTCTGTCTTTCTTTCTTTCTTTCTTTCTTTCTTTCTTTCTTTCTGTCAAACTAGCCAGATCTATCCATAAGTCTGTCTTTCTTTCTTTCTTTCTTTCTTTCTGTCAAACTAGCCAGATCTATCCATAAGTTTGTCTTTCTTTCTTTCTTTCTGTCAAACTAGCCAGATCTATCCATAAGTCTTTCTTTCTTTCTTTCTTTCTTTCTTTCTTTCTTTCTTTCTGTCAAACTAGCCAGATCTATCCATAAGTCTGTCTTTCTTTCTTTCTTTCTGTCAAACTAGCCAGATCTATCAGTAAGTCTTTCTTTATTTCTTTCTTTCTTTCTTTCCATCTTGAAATTCTGTATCGCTGGAAAAGAACCAAAAATGTAATGATACAATGGTCAGTATCCTCCGAGAATCATGTTGTCGGTGTAGGTAGGAGGTGGGGGGGAGGCTTGTTCGAAGCTTTGAGTTGGCTGGGGCACAAACTTGATGGAATGTTTGATTATCTGACAAACTGAAAGCAGTAATTACTCAACACAGATCAGCTAATGTTGGCCATTGTTATGAGCCATGTTACAGATTACTCAACCTTGAACCGGGTGGGGAGATTCCAGCTGACATATGGCTGAGGCTATATCCCTGGCAATACTAGTTTCACTGTGAATGATTTGCAAGGTTTAGGACCAATGTCAAAAGTTCCTTTTCATTTTCTTACCAAGTTAAAAGATTTGAGCAGCTTTTTGATTTTCAATTTTATCCCACCTACATACAATGAGGGAGCCACACAACCACAGTGATATATACCCCTGGAACAGATATCACTGATCAATTATTAGTAAGCTAATTTGAGAGACTATTGCTAAAGTAGCAAGCATGTTTCTCAATGAATATATCAAAGTTATAGCCTTATGCTAAACTATGACAAGGTTACATATGTTTTGCTGAACAAGACCGGTAAAGTATTTTTGTTTAGTTTTTTTTTTATGCATTCAAGTGTCTTCTTTTCTGGACTTATGTTTGTATGCAAAGAAGAAAAAAAAAGAAATAAAAATACCTTGTCAATCTTATTCAACAAAATATATATTAAAGAGGAATTACTACACACACATATATATATGTTGTGTATTTAGGTAGCAATCCTTCATTTATACATGTTTCATTAAAGACGACAGACAAGGTACTGTGATTAAGCTTTTTATTTAATCTTTCTTATGTTCGAACAAGAGTTTTCATTTCTGGACTCAGAGTGTATAGAAACTGTCCAAATATCCTGTAATTCCAAGTGCTTTTGGCTATACTTTTAGCCATTATCAAGGATTATTTTATTTTTCGTTTTTAATTGAGTGTATGAGTTGTGTGTATGTTTCTGGAGTTATAGGGATGTTTTATTTTCAGAACACAGTTAACACATTGTGGCTATGTTTGTACTTAATATTACTGTGTGTTGGGTTTTTCGTTTTTATTATTAAGGCTTCCATTACTTTTAATCCTTTTTTTAAATGTGGATGAAGTTATTGTTTGTATTTTCTACTAGTATGTTATCAACCAACCAACGCTTTTATCCATCGGCCCATCTGTTCTTTTGTACAACAGTGTATGAATTTCATTTCGAAATTCCAATCACATGAAGAAGGCCAAAGTGTACAATAGCTGAAACATTGTGAATATGACAAAAAAGATGAGGACAAGAATTTGAAGAATGTAAATAGTGTAAATAACTTAGATGGAAAATTCTTTAAAGTGCTGCTATTGTATCTTATCAAAATATAAATCTGCATTTTGAATTTTTTAAGTATCTCCATTCCTGAGAGAATGACTCCTTTCCCAAGTTAACATACATGACTATAAAAATTTTTGAAAATTAAAAGAAAATGGTTAAATTTATAAAATTCTGTTACTTAAAATATATTATACATAAATTAAAATTTACATAGTAAAATAATTTAAATATTAATATGCATAAAAAAATTCATCAACAAAATCATTTACTCACTTTCGTTAATTAGACATTAAATTAGTCACATACTATCCTCCATAATTTAACTAGGCATTTCAGATTACTTGATGAATATTTAAGAGCATCTTTTAAATTTAAAAATTTGGAAAAACTAACATTTTTACTTCTGTTTGTAAATACTTGTTGCAAATAAATTTCTTACATTTGCCTTGATCAGAGAACGAAAAACATTGGCTAAGATAAGTTTGCCTTTTGTCTTTATATATTTAAAAAATTACAAGATCAGCCAATCACAATATCCTAATTTTTAAAATTTAAAACCCCTGTATGTTAAATTTTTATTCTTTATCTTCTTTATATGTGTATTGAGCAAGCATTTTTTAAACAACTGTTTCCTGGTCTAATTCAACTATGGCCAATAACTGTTTTATAATTGTTATATATATATATATATATATATATATGAGGTCTGATTAAAAAGTAACTGGAATAGAAAACTGCAACAGATATCAATTCGGCATTTAATTTCCTTAAAAATAGTTCCCTTCCGAAGCAACACACTTTATTCAGTATTGTTTCCATTGATGAAAGCATGCCTGGAACTACTTTTTTGGGATATGAGCAGCTGCCTTGTCACATTCTCTTGGATTTCCTCAACATTATGAAATCCTGTTCCTTTCAAGAGGGATTTCATTTTTCAAGAGGGAAGATTCGAAAGGGGAGTGATCGAGGGAATATGGTGTTTGCTGTACTGAGTCAAAAACTGCTGCACAAGCCATGAGGAAACATATGTGGTGTGGTGAGATGATCACACTCTACACACTTTCCTTCCAAGCACTACTATAAACAATGCTAGTGTGCATATGCAATAGAGTTCCAAGTCAAGCTCTGCCAAGCAGCTTCCCTCTGAATACTTTAGCTCCATTAACATAGCAACAGTCTTTTACTTTTTGACCAGACCTCATATAATAAAAATATAGTTTTAAGTTTTAAATAAATATAGTTCTCAATATCAGAGATAGAGCATATAGTGGACTCTTTTTTCCAATATATATATATATGTATACAGAGAGAGAGAGAGAGAGTAGATGACTGCTCTCATTTTCTGAGCACACCAGTCTGCTAGGGTTACTAACCAATCTCTGTTGTAGACACATATTTAGGCACATTTATGTTTGTTCAACACCCACATAACACACCTATGGTTTATAAAGCAACTATACTGAGTGGACATTTGTTACAGTTTCAGGGAGAGACTACATAATCTGGCCTGATCAGCAGCTTGAATAATGCCAGTATACTTAAAATCTCAGCCACGATGACTTGTGACCTCATGCTAGCACAACCACTGATGGTGTAAGAAAGATCATGGAAGAAAGATTTATTCTCCCATTTGTATTTCCACTGTTATGGGTATTATTATATTAATGATATAATAACACTGTATATCATAGATGGAATATATACATGCATGTCCCATGCAGTGAATAATATATCATATATATCTATAAAGTAAAGCAGTGTGTAAGAAGAAACAAAAAGAAACAGTCTATAGTATGTCCATATTATATATATATGGACATACTTCTGTGTCTGGAGAAGTCATATTGAGGACTCCAGATTCATCTATGTCCCAGGCGAGGACATATTCCATGAATGGGAAACAGCAAGTCTTGGTTTTCCCCAAATTGAGGACCGCAAGCTGGAGTTTCTTTCTGTATGTTGGAAAGATATATTCCCAAAGGTAAATGGCACTATAGAGTTGTAAGCTGCTGGGGGAGACAGATTTAGCCTCTGCCTGGGCCATTGGGGAGTGGAGAGGTGCTGGGCTAAAGAAAGCAACCTTTCAGTTTGCTGCTGTAAAACAAACTGAATTTGACTGCTGCTTTCATCACTGTATGTTGTGACTTCACTAAACGGTCCATCACATGACATCTCCACCAAAAGGAGATGATTGCCTTCTGTATCGCTATAATGGCTTCTGAACAATTCCAATCAAACCAATTTCTGTGACAAGGCTTGGATCAACCCATGGTATAGTTTTCAGCCACTTTCCAAAGATGCCTCACAATTATTTTTTTAAAATTATTTCACCCCTAGCAAGGCGGGAATGCCACTAGTTCACAGTGGGTTACAGGGTGAGAGAAAAGACTGAGTATTGAGAGGATTGAGGAAATGACAAAAAATGAATGGGATTAAAGAAGATAAAAGATGGTGACTGATGTTGCATTTAAATTTTTGAAGATTATCATTATCAGGGAAGCAAATAAATGGAAAAGATTTCTACAGGCAGGAAGATTGAGAAAAGAAACTGTTGGAGTAAAAGTGGCAGTTGCATTTAACTATTTCAACAGTAAATGGGTGTGGTCAAGATGCCAATCTCGTGGCACACTTAAATTCATGCAAGTTGGGCTACCAGGGAACAAAGCTCATCAGTGCAGTTGCCATGAAAATATTTGTAGAAAAGACAGAGGGAAGCCACATCACATTGGTGAGAAAGTGACTGAAGTCAGGATGCCAAGTTAGGAGTTATTACATTATAGATCCTTTTTTGGATTTTGTCAAGAACCTTGGCATAAAGAGCAGGAGCACCAGACCAGATATGACAGCAGTATTCAATGCATGGCTGAATGGTAGATTTGTAAATGAGATGGATTCTAACAAGAAAAATTTTCTGGCAAAACCCAAATTTCCTTACAGTAGATGCAGCTATTGATTCGATGTAGTTGCACCACTTCATGTCAGTTGAAAACATGAGGCCAAGAATGCACAGTGTGTTGCTTTCCAGGAGTCTAGTGTCAGCCATTCTGATGACACAGAAAAGATTCTCTATGGTGATTAAATGAGACCCATTTTGTTTTGGAGGCATTAAAATTTACAACATATATTAAGAGCCAATGGGAGGACAGGTCTTCTACTGCAACTTTGATAACCAACATCTACTGAAAAATCAAACATCCATGTTTCCTGCTTGCATTTTCACTACATTCATTTGTTGTTTTGCAGTTTTGGGAAGCAGTTTTCTTTTTCGACCTCATAATAACTGCACTCAGTCTTTTCATGAACTTGTAAAATAAATTACATACTTAATATCTAAAGATATAATTACCATATATGATATGAACACACACAATTATTCCAGCCAGTATTTATCAGTGACACTGAATTTACTGGTTAGAACCTAATAAATATTCACTTTAGTCATTTATGACACATGAAGCAGACATTCTGGATTGCAAATCAATTCTATTCAATTTGGTCTGATGATTAGTCTTTGAAATCTTCAGGCACTTGATGTCCTTTACTCTCTTTTGTTCAGTCAACCAAATATAAATCTGTC